AAAAGAATAAAAACCCAAATATATGCCGGAAATAAAAGAAGGAAAATAACATAAATGATAATGTTTTAGTAGTTAGATAACTAAGATAATTACATATATATTAAAAGACAATGAGTTTATTAAAATAGAAAAATAATTTATTTTATTATGATAAGAGAGATTTGAATTATATATTTTTTTTTAATATTATCAAAGCCAACTAAATTTGACATGTGTTAATTTTCACAAATAACCTACGCGCTTATCTTCATAGAGAAAAAAACTGTGTGATATTCTGAGCCGTGTCTTTGTCTTGTTTCAATAGTATAAAGATGGCATAGCATGTTTAAAAGCAATCTGTTAAATATAACAACAAAAGAAAAATGATGATGGCATCAACCAGAGTGTGTAATGTGATGTTGACGGTAAAAAAAGAAAAGAAGTTAGTTTTGATTTTTAGACTACTATGAACGAGTAATAAGTAAAACATTCTCTTCTTTTTCTTTATTTTATTATCATTTTTTGTTTTAAATGATGAGAAAGTAAAGAGAACAAATGATACATATGTAAACGCAAAGTTTTTCTTGTTAGAGCTACGAACAAGGAAAAGAAAGATTTTCTTTTTTTTTTTCTATTTATTCGATAAAACAAAAAATATGGAATCGGTACATTAATAAGCTGTAACGGCATGATCTGGTTTTTTCATGATTTTAGCTTTTATACATATGTATATATTTTTTATAGATGTCTGATCTTTATTTGTTTGTAATGTCATAAGAAAAAATTCTTCTCCATCGTCATAACTATGCATTAGCAAATGATAAAAAATCTTTTTATCCGTTATAATGTGTGTATTTTTTTTCTCTATTTTCCCATCTGATGAATTATTTGTTTATTTGTTCTCGGATTACCACTATATAAGAGAGTGTGTCTCTCTTTACTATTATGATAGAAAAATAATATAAATAACAACATGGACCCATACAATAGGATGAATCAATAGGAAAGAAAATTATTGATCAAGATTAGATTTGTCGATATTCTAAAATAATCGATAAAATCCGTCAGAAAAAGAATAAAATCATTTGATGATTAAAAGTTATAATAACAATGATCATGATAATGTTGAATAGTGAGCTTAGAGTATTTAAATATAATAATTCATTGTCGAAAAGTAAAAAACAATTGGAGGAAAAATGCAAAAGGGAGGAAGAAGAAATGGAAAAGAAAACATTCGCCTAATAAAAACCTTTGTATGTGTATTTGTGTGTATGTGTGTGTGTATTGCGACAATTCAACGGTCTTTTGATTACTAAATAAAGAATAGTAAAAAAAAACTTGTTTTTTTTTTCTCTCTCCCGTCATGAAGAACACGTGTTACTGTATGTGCGTATGTATAAGCTTTTCTATTATTACGATTATTACAATTGTTGTAGTTATAGGAAGATAGATACTTGATCTTTAATTCGTTTTCTTTTTCTTTTTGTTCTTAACACTTTTAAAGAGTCCATACGTTTAATAGATAAATACTTTCAGGACATTAAAAAAGAGCGCTTACTGTACCTTTTTATTATTTGTTGTTTAAATACAAAGTTATGTAAGTAATAAATTATATTTCATTATTGTTTTTAATAATTATTCTCAGTAGATGCGATTAATCACAGAGGAATACAACATTCTTTAATCGCTCTCAGAAGAGTTGTTAAAAAGAGAAAATAATATAGCGTAGGGTAACATAATTTTAGACACTAAGATGAGTGTATACTATAATTATTCGTCTTTAAAGTGATGATGTAGTTTTAAAGATGTTTCCATATTTTGTGAATCTTATTGGAATGTTTAATAGATCAACTTTTGTCTACAGAAATCACTGATACATATCAGAATAGTTTGTTTAATACGTTCTTTTAATGTATATATCGTTTGGAGTTCAAACATAACTATGAAGTATAGTTCAAAAAAATATGTGAATATATTGACAGGACAACTTTTTTTCCTACTTTTTTCGTTAAAAGTTGATTCACCTATAGCTTTTAACTAATAAATCTGTCAAATAAAACTTCATCGAATGATATACCATATGCATTGTCATTACACGATGACACTAAGATCGGATGATTTTTTTACCAGTATGTATCTACTTGGAAGGAAAATGTTGATGATATTAAATACCGGATAAGTATAAATGACCTAAGAATCTATTAACGCTAAATCTGAGAGCAGCATAATGATAAACTGATAAATTGTTAAACAGCGGATTTGTATGAAAGGCTCCCTTCATTTTTACCACCTTGTGTTGAAGCTCTTGTGTGACGCTGTTATCCTCGGCTCTTGGATAACAATTATTGATTGTTAATACAGTTTTCTTAGTAAACACCTATTTTCAAAGTATAAGAGATATTATTAGTTCCAAAATGAACTATAAATCATAAATGTTCGAGTAATTTGAGTGATATCAGTTGAATTCAAAATTGATTGTATATTTTTATTCAATTCCAAACTCTTTTCCGTTAACTATGTGAGTAACAATATCTGATCATACTTGTTTTTTAAATACTAAATAAATATTTACAAATATTAATGATAGAAAAGCTTTATGTGATATGTCTATAGAAAAAAATTTAACTTTGTTTCATCTTTTAGAGAAAATGAGTAGTTCAGCAAATAATTCAAATACATTTGGAGGTACGGGTGCCTTGTCTATTCATGTTACAGATGCCGAAACAAGTGCTGAAAATGGAAGAAAATTTACAGTTAGTTAACTTAAGTCTAAGACTAATTGATTGGAAGATAGTGCGATGTTTTCTCTCTTTAGAAATATAAAATATTGGTTCAATACGATAATCAAGAATGGGAATTATGGAGACGGTATAAAGAATTTCATACCCTCAATGAAAAAGTAAGTCAATCGTATTGATTTATAATGTCAATCATTTTAATTCGAACATGTTTCAAGTCAAGGATATACAAAAATATGATAATGGATCTCTTATAATGTTTCTGATTTTTCTGTTTTTTTAGTTGCGTCGTGCTCGATCTGATTTAAAACTTCCTGGAAAAAGATTGTTAGGTAAAATATTCTGCCTTAGACAAATGAACTTGTGTGAAAAATTGAGATCCTTTCTTTAGGTGATTCATTTGAACCAGAATTCATTCTTAAACGTCAACGTGGATTAAATGATTATGTTCAACAAATTATATCACAACCACAACTTATTAATATGTAGGTCGGAGATAGAATTTTCGACGATTATAAAAATTTTTTCTTCTTATATTAGATATAAATGAAAAAATAATGTCAGAGATATCATAAACGTTTTAATAACAATGATGGGAGTAGAAATTCATTGAAGGAGAAAATAATTATTGATAGATTAAGAATCTGAAACATTTTGTATTATCGATCTTACTCTTCGATAGTTCATAATTATTATTTCTAAAACATGATCTGATCGCTAATTTTGGTAGTTATTTCAAAAAAAGATTTTTGTTTCTAGTATGGGCTACACATCCTTATCTTTATTTGCATGATGAGAACTAACTATAGTTATTCTCAAAACAAAAATGTTCGAGCAATGAATACAAAAACAAAAATGAATATAAATATATAAAAGTCTAATATCTATAACAGATCTTTCTTTTTTTTTTGTAGGTCTGAAACAGTTAACTTTTTTGGTTTAAATGGTACTCAAAATCAATCATCGACAAAATCATCAAATCAAGTAACAACAACAAGCTCGACAACAGTAAAAACAGATGAAGATGATATAAATAATCAAGTATGCTAGTTAATATTCCTTTAGAATGATAAAAGACACATATTTCACGCTATAAACCAAATAAATGTCACGCAAGGTTAATTTCTGTAAAAAATCAAACCTTTTATATTTTATTGATCAGAGTCTATATATAGATTGCTAAAATTATTAATACCCAAGGCTAAAAGCTCTTCTACTTTTCGTCATACATAATTTGAGACTAATGATGCAAATAACTTCATATGAAGTCTGATAATGTTTGAAGGATTATTAACTGATATCGATCTGCGGGGTTTTGTAAAGACTATCGTTCCAATACTGGAAGGAAGCAAAGATTTTCTCGAAATTTTTCATTATTAGAAAATAGGCGCACTCAACGTTTCTGACTTAAATATATGATCAAAACTTCTTTTATTAACAAAGCCACATACTATAGTATTTGAATGAGTTTCTGGATTTTTAAACAGTCCAAAATATTTGTAATATAACTCATTTTATAGGCGGATACAATACGAGTTAATCTTGGTCGAACAGAAAAAGTATCGTAAGTTCTACATGGAACTTTATTAAGCCTTAAACATATATGTTCGACTTTTAGAACAAAACCGGATGATTTTGAATTTCAAAAATGTATTGGTAAGGGTTCATTTGGAAAAGTTTATTTGGCACGACATAAAATAGAAGATCAAATATATGCCGTTAAAGTTGTTAGCAAAGCATTAATTAAACGTAAACGAGAGGAACGTCATATAATGGCTGAACGCGATGTATTAGTTAAAAATTGTCGTCATCCATTTTTGGTTTCATTACAATATTCGTTTCAAACTCCTGATAAACTTTATTTTGTCATGGATTTTGTTAATGGTGGAGAAGTGAGTGAGATTGAATACGTAGCATATCTTTAATTAAAGAAAATTATTGCATAATTTCAGCTATTTTATCACTTACAACAAGAACGAGCATTTAGTGAACAACGGGCAAGATTTTATGCTGCTGAAATTGCAAGTGCTGTGGGTTATTTACACAAGTTGGATATCATTTATCGGTAACTTTACTAATAAGGGACAAACGAACGTTTGTCTCATTTAAACAAATCGAAATAATGTTGTGCATATTATTTTTCAGAGATCTGAAGCCAGAAAATATACTGTTGGACAGAGAGGTAATATAATTGTAACAACCATCATAACTTTTCTCTAAAAAAAGATCATCTAATGATTTCAGGGTCACATACGTCTAACAGATTTTGGGCTATGTAAAGTAATGTTATCTACAGAGGGTCGAGAAGGACGAACAGCAACATTTTGTGGTACACCTGAGGTACGTGAGTGAGATGACTTTGAGCTGATATAGAACGTTTTTTATATCTATTATCTATATTTAGTATCTCGCACCAGAAGTGTTACGGCGTGAACCATATACAAAAGCTGTTGATTGGTGGTGTTTGGGTAGTGTGACATACGAAATGTTATGTGCCAGAGTATGTTTTCAAATTTTTGTTCTTATACATTATGTCTATTTTTTGATTTATTTAGCCACCATTTTACAGTCGTGACGTAAATGAAATGTACGATAATATATTAAACCGTTCGCTTCGTTTCATTGGCAATGTATCAGAACGAGCACGTAATTTAATTGAACAGGTAAGTGACAGTGTAGATGTAGTTCGAATGATGATAAAAGATTATTCATGTTTCATGATTCCAGTTACTTCGAAAAAATCCAGCTGAAAGACTTGGTTCAGGTCCCGATGATGTTGCTGATATAAAACGTCAACCATTTTTTGATCAAATTGATTGGGAAAAATTAGAATCAAGAAAAATACAACCACCATGGAAACCAGCTGTGGTAAGAGTATTTTCGCTAAAGTTCATTTTTCTTTTAATGTTCTATTTTAAAATTTAGTCTGGTCCGTCGGACGTTAATCAGGTGGATAGTGTTTTTACTCAAGAAATTGTTTCACCATCAGTCCAAGAACAGTATCTCGGAAGTGTAACAAATAAAGACCCAATGTTTAACGGTTTCACTTATCAACCGGATACACATATGACTTCTTGATTATTTTTTGTATAAGATTGTGTATGTATTTTCATTGTTAACTACCGGTGTGTTTTTATCTTTTTTTTGATCGTTTTTTTTTTGTATCTTCGTATATGTTGTTCTGATCTGCTAAATTTATTTCGTTTGTGAAAGGATGAGTGCTTTTACCTATCTCTGAAAAAGGACATGAAACACATATTTAATATTATCTGTGTACTATCAATCACTCAAGAGTTGTAGTACCCTATACTCCCGCGCTCTCTCTCTCTCTCTATCTGTATAAATTTATGAGAGAAATTTTGGGGAACATTCCGTTCATGTAGTTATTCTAAATGTGTCTTCCTATATAACGACGATTTATTTCATCTATTTGTCATTTTTTCAGTTATAGCAAGACTTTGCTCTTTTTAGGTTTTTTTAAAATAAACTAACGACTGATACATTAAATAATAACCTTGCTCCGTGACAAGAGAAAAAGTCATCTGTCATTTTAATCGGAAAAAAGTATCAGTCGTTTGAAAATACACGAAGTTTTAAAAGGAGAACCTTCACAGGCATGCAGTAAAATTTCAACAATACGTTAAGTTTAAAACTCGTTCAGAATAACATAATTTCGAACATATACAAACACTAGTTCTTAGATGCTAAAACTAACTTTTATGTTATTTTCATTGATTTTTTGGTTTGAAGGCTGAATGCAAAATGTATCTATTAGGTGATGATAATCGCTAGTATATCATCATCAAGTGGAAAGATCAATGTCTCGTGGGTAACACGTGTCCTCAACTGTCACTTGAGTACAGTGTACGATATTATGCTACCCGTGAGACTTTGATGGAGCTTTCTTTCTACTTATTGATGATATACTAGCGATTATCTTCACTTAATGGATACATTTTGCATTCAATCTTCAAACCAAAAAAATAATGAAAATAACATAAAATAAATAAAAGTAAACATATCATATGAAAACGTTACGGGCCGGGGTATCATACTATATTATCATGCAACAATCAAACAAATACAAGAAGCTAAGAGAGCGCAAAAACGATTCGCAATCATTTTCTCATTGGTGGACGCAAAAATAAATCGAAAATTTCATATTTATTTTTCTACAGAATGGACAACGATAATATCGTTTACTGTTTCGAGGTTTAGATTAGATCCTTCATGATGTTGTTACGACTTAATTTGACTTTTGACTTAATACCAAACCTTATTTGTCAGACGGAACCTATTATACGAAGAAACATAATGGTTCTGTACCGAACCTTTTCAGCTCGAACTACTTTTGTAGGACAGAACCTTTTTTCGAAAAACACTGAATCTTTTTGAGGTTTTGTGAGACCCAAGGAAAGAACTCTTAAAAGGTACTGTCTGTACCCTTTTTTTTAGAGAGTAAACAGTAAAACTTTATTTTTCAGTTTAACGCAATTATTTTCAATTTTAAGGGAGATATTCACCATCAGCGTTAAAATCAGCATCGAAACGATACAATCACAAAAAAATCAGATTCCAATTCCGTTTGTTGATATAAAGTTGACAAAAGCCAAAATTATTTGCAAAAAATTGCATGTATCGGGTGGCCCATATAAAATCGGACACTTTCATTCGTTGTTCATGTGGCATTGTCCGGTAGTCCACAGAGTTGGTTCTAAGCTCAATCGATAGAGAATTGAATTCTCCTCAAAACTTGCTATTTGAATCTCTGATAACAGTTTTTTCGTTTGTGCACTATTCATAATATTGAAGAGTGCTGAGTTGCCTAACTACGACACACTGAAAATAGAAAAATATTTGTCTTTATCCAAAAACTGATTTCATAAGAATTTTGCAAACACCAGAAGATTTACCGGAAAATTCTGCATCTTCTCACATATTTTTCGAAATTTTACAGGTAAGTCTTCAAAGAAAATTTGTCTGTGCAAAAAACTGACGAATCCAATAAAACCTAAGTTTTGAACCTATTTTTCACAGAATTTAGTTTTTGGCCTATAAAGGCAGTAAAATGTTGTGAATCCAGGGTTTTAGTCTTATTTTCTTATGCAGACTTAAATTCGGCATCGTTTCATATTTAAACAACGTTTCTCAATTGAAACCATTAATTAAAAAAATTAATTTAATTTGAAAAAATTGAAAAATCGGTTGAGAGCTAATTATAAGTTTAGCTGGCGTAGCAGAAACATTGTATGAAGTTGTAAAGAAGTGAGATCGATAGAGCACAAAATTCTCTATCTATCTACGTAGATAAATTAACTATTGAACCTCAGATAATGGGCTAAAAATCTCAAAAAAGGAGGCGACAAAAGCTTGTCGCAGTGAGGCAACTCAGCACTCTTCAATATTATGAATAGTGCACAAACGAAAAAACTGTTATCAGAGATTCAAATAGCAAGTTTTGAGGAGAATTCAATTTTCTATCGATTGAGCTTAGAACCAACTCTGTGGACTACCCCACAATGCCACATGAACAACGAATGAAAGTGTCCGATTTTATCTGGGCCATCCTATAGTTGATGATGATTGAAGTTATCAATCGAAAGCTTCTATGTTTTAAATAAAATGTTAGTTCTTGGTCTCGTGCAATATTGGCTTAAAAAAATCCTATAGAAAGTTTTCTGGAAATCCTGTGCGATACCACACCCGCCAAAAATCTGATGAAAAGATTTCGAAAAAGTAACGCGAGAACCTTCTCAAGTAATCACAGCTTTTTGAGCTCATATTTTGCTGATCGATGGGGTCAATAATTGTAACACAAAGCCTAAAACTAGTTCTTTTTCTCTTAATTTTTTCTGTTTTTTCTTCTTGTTATGTATTTAATGTACGGTCAGGGAAACATCATGTTAAACTACTCTTCAATTATGTAATTCTTCGGCGCATTAGGAGAAAAGTTGTTAGGTATATTCACTTCTAAATAAAAATAGCTTCAACCAAGCCTAAAACGAATTGTGCGCCTGCAGCTTGGCTGCATAGTTATAGCCAATTTAAGGGTACCCCTCTTTTTTCCAAAAAAACTTTTCATTTTGAGCTGAACATAGTCTAATATAGAGGAAAGTCTGGGCTATAAAATGAGACCACTCCCAGCTCTCCACGACCTTCTTTGAAAAAATTATGAAGTTTTTTAAGTTTTTGCTTCAAAGCTTGGAAAATCTCAATCTTTTAGTTTCGTTCGATTTTTCTCTCGTTTCCTATATAATTAAAATTTTTTCATATAAATAGCATGATAGAAGAAAGTGCTCTGCAAAATGAGATGCCTTCTAGAATTTTTCGATGAATTTTTGTGGAGATATAATCATCAACGCAAATGTACAACACGTGTTTTTCTCATTAAGCGTTTTTTTGAGTCCCTTCAATCGAGTCATATTATGACCCCTCGAAAAAATAGTCAGATCGAGCTGAAATTTTTACCGCAGATACTTCAGATCTAATCTCAGGTTTGTTCTCTTTTTAAACGTTTTCGGTGTGAGAAAGGTTTTAAAATAAAATAAAATACCGGTTTTTTATACAGGATTTTTAGTATTTTTCGAATATCTCGAGAAGGAAAGTATGTTTTTCGAAAAGAAAAAAACGATTCTGAGATGGGATCTAAAGTATCTGCAGTAAAATTTCCACCTTGACCGGACCATTTTTCGAGGAGTCGTAATGCGACCTGATGAAAACTATAGTTTTCAGATTATTCTGACATACAGATTTTCTGAAAACTCTATAGAGTTTTCAGAAGATCCATAGAAGTACATGTCAGAAAATTCTGGACAAAAATACATCGATGTTCTATCTCTGGTATAAATTCCATCCTGTTTCCCCGTTTTCCCGTTTTTCGCGAGGGTTAAAAAAGAGAGGGAGGGAGGTACTCGTAAGTTCTATACAGTTTGAGTTTTGGCTGGATTATGTTATATTTCATCATCATTAATGTTTTAATAGCTGAAAACTTTATCATGGATACATCCATTCAACAGCTATTTGCTCTAATAGTTTCATTCTGCATCTTCTTCACTTAAGAGGAATTGATTTCTTTTAAGGAAGGTCATAGCCGCTGTATGTGGGATCAATGTACAGTGGTCGTACAGGCGGACATTTGGCCAAAAATCGAAGGTGAGTTTTTCTATGATTTGAACAGTGTCAGGTATAGTCCATTCAACGCTCTATCGAATGACGTAAAAATTTTGTTTCTACGCCTTTTCCTTATGCAGTTATTCAGTAAAGAAAATAAGGAAACATGAGAAATATGCTGAAAAATGGATGTATTCAGCAAAATCAAAACGCTAAATAGCAAGGTCCAGTCTCATTCATTTTCACGTCAAAATGTTCATCTTGATATCCTGTGCCTATCGTGCATGCAGCTTTATGCAATTTTGCTTCTGAGCTTTTCCGCAGGTTTTTGCGGTATTTTCCACTTTCCTCAGCCGAGAAACACTTTTATTGAAAACTAATGTGAAATTCGGAATCACCATGAAAATTTGCATCTAATGATGTTTAATTTGTTAATTTTACAAATAAAATATTTTTTGACAAAAATTCAGGACAAGGGCCCCTTAGTAACTTATTATTGAAAAAAATTAACTTTTTAATTCGAATATTTTTAGTTTTATTAATATCTGACGCATAATAAGACCATATCATGCGAAAATAATCGTTTTTTAACTCAAAAAAACGAGATGTCCGCCTGCTCTATGGAAAAATACCCACTGTGTGCAATGCTTAAAAAAAATCAGAGAAATTAATTTTTCTAAACGAACGATAGCTTGATAGATACATAAAAATTATCCCAAAAATGTGAGAAAAAGTGGTCAATTCTTGCGAATTTATTGATTGCATTTCTCGCAGAAGACAAGCTGAACTAAGAACATAATATTGTAAAGATGTTTTCCAGTTCCAAAACATATTAGTCAAACTTGAATCTAGTTGTTAGTACTATCGGTCTCGTGTCTAAACCGTAAATATCATAAAATGAAGAAAACGGACCTTTTTTTAACAAAATTTAGAAAACTATAACAAGGAAAACAACAAAAGACATAGTTGTAAGTGCCCCTTTAATATAAAATCTTAGACTAATTTAGTCATAATAACACAATGATTTCCCTCATCATAGTAGGACTTGACAATTCTTGCATTTTTAATATGTTCAATTAAATGTTCTAATTCACCTCGTTCATAGACATGATAATATCGTAATAATTGTTGATTTTCTTTAACTTTTGTCCATGAAACAAGACAATCGGGACGTTGGAATTCAGTACGACTTTTGTGTACACTCAATGTCTCTTCTTCATAAGTTTCCTTATGATTATCTTTTGTCAAATTGACACGAATAGGAGAATGTACGAGACTATTTTTCTCCTCTGATTCACGATCATGATGATGTTTGTTTTTCCTATTTGCAGCAGTATCAATATAATAACTTTTCTTCTCTTCAAGTGTTTGTTCTTTCGCCCAAACTGTTATCAGTGCTTCACCTCCCGGTCGTAATAAACGAATTATCTCTTTTAATGCAATTAAACGTCGCTCCTGAAATAGATAATGTAGTTATTAAGCACACACAGAATTTCTACTTCAGAACATACCGGCGTACTGATATGATGTAAGACAGCAATACAAATTACTCCGTCGAAAAAATTTGTCGGTACCGGAATGTTCATACAATCGGATAAAAATACTTGAAAATTACGTTGCCGACAAATTTGAAGTAGACCAATACTTCGATCACAGCCAATCTAATTTTAAAGAAAGATACAAATATACTTTTATGAGAAATCCTACACTAAACTGGCATACCATGAAGAGATCGTTTCTACTGTTCATATATTTTCCGTTTCCGCATCCAATATCTAGCACCATGTTTCCAATGGGAAACTTTTGTAGAAATTCAACGACACTAGGCCATGGACTATGTCTCGTATGACTAAAATTATCAGCTATTTCATCGTAAATCTAAAAGAAACAATGTAAATAAACATATTAGAATGATTATCTGCATAAAACTTCTTACTTTATGAACATAATTTTGTTCTAGTTGTGATGCATCTAAATTAGATTTTGGTAAAACTGGTAACACAGAAGAATCTAGAGTTTAAAACGAATATTATTATTGAAAAAAACATAGTAATCACCCAAAAATGTATACTTTGTCGAGTATTATGCTGTTGTGAAACTTTTCGAAACGTAAATGAAACCCGATATAATCGTGGTACAACCGTTACTTGACCATCATCTGTCATGATAATATCACTTTTTCGAGGAACAATTCTAAAATCTGAGATATCCTTAAATTAACATACAAATACAAAAATGGTAGATATAAAATACTTACCCATGTGACCATTGATATCGACATTCATCGGACATAATCAATAGACTTTTGGGCGGAATTTGAACGTGAACAGTTTCATTCGTCGATAATTTTTTAAAAGTCATTATTATTGATGAGCATAGGCTCACTGACATTATATTATCATCGAACATATCCACTGTGTCTACATGAGGTGGAATACCTAAAAATAGAATATTTTCAGTTTCACGTATAGTCAAAGGAATTTTTGTTTTACCTTGTCCCGGTTCGTAGCAATTGACGGTTATTTGATCGGATTTCTGTTTAATATAGCCTAATTGCCAAGCACGATCAATAATCCTTTCACACTCTATTGGGATTGATTTTGGCAACGGTTTCGTAGCATCAACATCATTCGTGCCATATCGAAATTCATAGCCATAATGAATAACACGACGATGTTTGAGATTAGCTCGATTATCTTCTTAAAAAATCAATAACAAATAATAACATTTAACAGCAGACATTTAATCACAAATAAACTTTAGCTTACCATTCTTCACTACCGAATCTACTTCTATGAGTTTTAATAACTGTTTTTCAACATACTCATCAATAAAATCATCGATTAATATTAATCCTTTTGGATATTTGGTTGAATTCACCGATATACTCGGTACTAAAATTAGTTAGTTTGAATTATTGTCATTTACTAAAACAATTGAGTGTTTACCATTTGATACGTAAGCCATATAAAAGGTGATATTTGATTGATTAATACCAATTGGATAAGAATGTCCATTACATTTTTCTATTGCTTCCTTTGCTGATTGTTTGTTCTCGTAGATAATAAACGAATAGGGTCGTCCAATTGGCAATAATATATCAATTATTTGACCAAACGATTGAAATATTTCTAATAGTGATTCACGTGATACATGTGCTTCCACACCTGCATTACCAACAAATAAACACTAAAATAAAAATAAGAATAACTTTCAGTAATTCTCTCATAAATTGTAGATTAATCATATTACAAACTTGAGTAAGCTCATTAATCGCCGTAATTCCATCCATTCGTTCCAAAATAGCTAGACATTTTGTTAGCTTTTTATCGATTTTACGCTCACCATAAGACAATTTCGAAGTAGCTACTGTTGCTTGGTTACCGTTATCATCTGTAGGTAAACGTATTATCTGAGAAATAGAATCATCAGTCATCTAGAACTTTGAGAAACAATTTCAAATCGAGTTGTATACCAAACTGAATGTTAAACGAGCGAGCTAAAGATAAACAACGTAAAGCAAAGGAAAAGTTTAGTTTTTATTTAAATAAATTACATTTAGATTTCAAGAGAAAGAAATGAACAACACATATCCCCAACAATAATAATAACAATAACAATAACAATAAGAAACTTTATTCTCAATATTAGAAACATCCTACGCGATCACGAGGAATCAAACGAAGTTCAGCTCCGTATTTAAGAAAAGTATTGCCTGCTGTTTGACTTGGATTAATACCAACTCCATCTAGAGAAAAGAAATAATAATCACTTTACACATTCAGCTAATGGAAAAATAATACGCACCATTCGTAATAATTGCACTAGTAGCGGCTTGTACTTTAAACTTAATAAGACACACGATTTTTAATTAATGCATTAAAATTAGAAAAAACAAAACATACTTCCTCAGCTGCAAATTTCAAAACGGCGGTAAATGGAGTGTTTTCTGGAACTGATAGTCTAGAAAAATAAAAAAGGAAAAAGCAATGGTATCCATAAAAATAAATACTCGATTGCTTACACTTTGTAAGGAAGTTTTGGATCAGATGTGAGAGTAATTTTAAACGTTACTTTAGCACTACCGGATGATGACGTAACTGTGGCTGTTGTATTAGATGCAGCAGCGTTATTAGTCGAAACAGTAGCCATCTGAAATAAAAATATTTTACACATCGAACAGTTGATAATCTAAGAGAATACCAACATTGTTTGTTGTAATATAATCAATACAGATAGTAACACTTGTATGCAAACAACAATTATTAATTTTTTATTTCAAAACACAAAACAGTGCAATTCTGATATTTTTTTGTTTCTCCTCTTGCAGCGTTCAACATATGTTCATAAGAACAAAGAGAAAAGAACGAAAAAGTGAGAGAATAGCGAAAAGTAAAATGTGAGAATGAGGAAAAAGGGTGAATGTAAGGCGCCGCTAATTCAATGTTAAGTACTACCTTATTTCTGACTTATTTATTAGACATGATTGTATAGAGCAAGTTGAGCTAAACAAGAATATGTAAGTTTTAACTTTTCCAGTTCAAATTTTTTTCTGATTCAGCAACACATGAAGCTGAGTCTAGACGAGTTATTTGGAGCTTGATCACATGTAACATAGTCATTAAAAAAATCTATTTACCAATTTTGAAAACCTATTTAGTTTTTTTGTTAAGAGATCGATCTTCATTTATACCGCATTCGATTCGCCGTCTGGCGGGCAACAATAATATACAGAGATTTTTTAAAATTTCTTTCCGTTGCTGAAAAAATTCATTTTTTCTAAATCAGAGGTGAAAAAGTCAGAATTCTACTGGCAATTCTCAATTTTCTCCATCAGTACCAAACTTTTATGCAACAAAAATATATTGGGAATTAGGATCAAAAATGGAGTCGGCTAATGTGTATTTCTATCCTATCCGACTACTTAAGTCTTGGTTGAATTTTCACGCTGAAAAATTATCGTGATTTTCAACAAAAAATGAAAATCAAGTAAAAATTCCAAAATACACAATCAGAAAAATTCTGGAGCTCCGAAATGAAATTGGACAAAAATACTCGAATTTTTCATGGCGGAATAATTTTTCGAAATTTTAGGTCCTTTTTATATTTTAGACTTTTTTCACTTAAAATTTGGACTGGGAAAGTTAAAACTTACATATTCTTGTTTAGCTCGACTTGCTCTATCCAACCATGTATAATAAACAAGTCAGAAATAAGGTAGTGCCTAAACTTTGAATTAGCAACGCCTTATATACGTTATAGTCGTGTTTCTATTGTAAACTATAGACGATGGCGATTACGGATCATAATCGAAGTTTCGGGTTTTTTGAAATAAAAAATCAATGAGTGTTGTTTTCATACGAGTATTACTATGAATCAGGAGAACGTTTATACAAAGAAAATGAGCGATCACTGATTTCAGTAAGAGTAACGAACAGTTTTATTAAATTACCATTTTTTTGAATGGCGATGGTGTTTACAATAGCAAAAAAAGTAACATTTAGATAAAAAAGAATAACAAAAAGAATTTATGAATAAGAATAACTGTGAATAAATCTTCAAAGCTGCCAAATGGTCAGCTAAATAAAGATTTTATTGATTGTTTTTTATATCAGACCAAGTAAAAGAAAAATAACAATAAATGTTTGAGCAATATAGAAGAATTTAAAAAGATCACATAATCGAAAGAAGAATCATGAAAAATTTTGTACCTTTAATCGTTTATTATTCTTTATCATATACTTCCAAATGATACTGTATTCCATTTTCTTCTCCGTTAATAGTACCATTAGCATTATGTTTTTTATCAAATATGTCAGCAATATTATCTGGAATATTTTCACTACGTTTAAAACCTTTAAGATCAAAATCCGGCCATAATACATTACAATGGAAATCACCTTGCACACGCGTTAAATAAATACGTTTAACTAAATTTGTTTTCATTGCTTCTTGATAAATGGATACACCACCGGCAATAAAAACATTCTCAATCGTTTTTTCTTTATCATATAAGTCATATGTTTTTCGTATGGCTTCATCAAATGAATCAACTTGTAATAAATTATCATATTTTTCTTTAATATGAGCAGTTTTACTTACCAACACATTTAAACGATTCGGTAATGGTTGAACTTGTTTGGGAAATGATTTCCACGTTTTACGACCAATAATGACGGCATTTTGTTTTGATTTTTCATTTGTTACCGTTGTTACATGACGAAAAAATTTCATATCATTTTTTAAATGCCACGGTAAAGTATTATTGAGACCAATACCATTTCTTTCATCCATAGCAACGATGATAGTTAAAAATCGTTTCATACTCATTTTAGATGGAAACTAAAGCCATAGAAAATAAGTAATGTTANGAAATGATTTCCACGTTTTACGACCAATAATGACGGCATTTTGTTTTGATTTTTCATTTGTTACCGTTGTTACATGACGAAAAAATTTCATATCATTTTTTAAATGCCACGGTAAAGTATTATTGAGACCAATACCATTTCTTTCATCCATAGCAACGATGATAGTTAAAAATCGTTTCATACTCATTTTAGATGGAAACTAAAGCCATAGAAAATAAGTAATGTTAGACTACATCCACATTGTGCGTCTTTGTTTCTTTCTTTTCCGTACTTTAGACAGAAAATAGATGAGAAGAAAATTTTCATTCTCGTGTATGCAGAAACAAAACAAAACAAAAGATATAAAGAGAGCAAAATATTGTTTGTCTCGTGCAAATGACGAAGAGAGAACGTTACGTATTTCACTTGATGAATGAGAAAGTTTTAGTAATGTTTCAGCAAAGTTTTGCACTGATTGTTATAAAAGAAACTCCACTCTGTATCTATGACTGTAACTGCAACTCTTTCAGTTGAGTTGATACCTTTATCATTCATAACCAGTAAATGTATGAAAACAAACCAACAAATGATCAAAACATGAACAAAAAGCTGTTTATGATTATTATCTATAGCACCACTCAAAGTCATAGGAACATATAAGATATTAGATCTCCTTATTTGCTAGTTCTCTATTATTATAGTTTTCTATTTTTCTCTTTTCTGTCTAAATTACAGAAAAGTAAGAAACAAAGACGTACAATGTGAATGTAGTCTAACATTACTTATTTGCTATGGCTCTATTGAAATTTCCTTAAAATAAACAGTATAAACTAAAGTAAAAGTAGAGAAAAAACTCTGGATAGTCTATCTCTACTTCAAAAACACATGATAAAAAATACAAATTAGTTCAACTATTTTATTTATTATGACTATACACAGACAGACGATTTTATTTGACTTAATGAATACATATAGACAATGACATGTAAAAAGAGTAGAAAAAAAGACACAAAAACAAAGAGCGAGCAGCATTTTATACAAATACATCCATATTACATTTTACAAAGAAAATTACTGTTATAATGCACTTCAGGTAGTTGCAAATATATCACCACTTCCTTCTTGTTGCTGTTGTTGTTCATCTTCATCTTCATCATCTTCTTCACCGTCTTTCGGTTTTCTTTTTGTCGTTGTCGTTGCTCTTGCACTAATTAAACGATTTACATAACCTTTACTTTTATTTTTTCGAAATTGTTCAAATGGATCTTCTTCCACTCCAATACCCTTGTATAATTCATTTCGTTCACGTACTTCAGCACCAGCCGCTATTGGTTCGGCAATTCCTTGCCCTTTCAAGCCCAATCCTCCTTTACCTTTCCAACCTAAAAAATAATCAAATTATAAAAACCTAATCAAGTTGTACCACCAAATCTTGATTAAAGAAAAAAATGCATGATTTCACATATAAAAGGTTTTTACCCATTTTTTGCAATAATTTATGCCCAATATTTGATTCATCTAATTTTTGCGTTGTATGATGATGTTGTGCTTTCGGGTTGATAGTTCTACAATGTAAGAAAAGAGTTAAAAGAAAAATGAATATCTCACCGACGGTACGCACCCTATTCCGACGGGTGCAGAAGTAAATGTTGGAGGAGAAACACTTCTTGATCGAGATTTGGTTTTTGAACGTGATTTAGGTCGCGGCAAAGTTACTATGGAATGAGTTTGATGATGATGATGAGCACGTGGGGATTCCGAACGAGATCTATAAAATAAAACAAATTAACTTATTTATATAACTGAACATTAAAAAATAAACCTCGATCGTCGACGCTTTTGTCCTTGATCATCAGATAAGTCAGATGACGTTGATCTTGACGATGAGGAGGATGATGTAGAAGAAACAGATTTTCTTTGTCGTCCCGGTGGTTTCAGTGCATCTTGTTGTTCTTTTGCAATTCGCTGTATTCTTTCTTTCGAATATTTATATTTATTTTTCATTTTGTAAAATTCAAATAGTCCTAAGCGTTCCCAACCTTCGCTAGTAAACAAACAAAATAAAACAATTAAAAACTTATAATTATGTCTAAACTTTTCTCAAATAAAGTGTCAACTTACGCATTTCTGGGAGAATCATGTGTTGCGGCTGAATAAAAATTATTAATAGCAGCTAATAATCTTTCGGTAGGTACTTGCGGTGGTGGTAAACGTATTAAATGAGGATCTAACGATCGATAATCACAATCATCATCCTTGAAGTAAAAAGAAAGATACTTTTGGTTTCCTTTTTAGATCTCAAATTTATTTTTAAACTTACTTTGACTAGTGGACACATGAGACCGGCAGGCAGATCGTAATATGGTACCTCAGGCGTTAATTCGCTTATTTGAGAAGAAACGTTATTTGATAACGAACCATCTTGACTATTCTCATTTGAACTGTATTCATCATTTGAATCGTTGGATGAGGGTGGCTGGTAAGTGTTTATCGACATCAACGATGGAACTTGTTCGAACATTTGTTGTGATATGAGATTGGGATTAGGCATAGGCGGTAAACAGGGTCCTTGTGGATTCATCACATTGGAGGAAGTCTGAGGTGGTAAAGCTAAAAATGTACCCATATTTAGCGTTAGAAGCATTCAAAATCCGAAACAAATCCTAACATACAATCACGACCATTATCATTGAATGGATTTAACGACATTAATGGAGGAGGCTGTAGAGATGTTGATGGTATCGAAGGAGATAACATCCGATTATTTAACGGTGGACCTCGAATATTATTCCCTTGTTGTGGCCCTAAAAACAGATGATAATACAAAAAAAGAAATTCACAACAATTTGACACTCACCAAACTGTTGAGCTCCATTTGGCCCAACCATGTTTGGTGGAGGAGGAAACATGTTCGGAGGTAATTGTGGTGTTTGTGGAATATGCGGAGGAAGCGAGGATGCAAACTGTTGTTGCTGTTGATGTGACTGTTGCATATGACTTATTTGTACAAGTTGAGTTTGTGTGTGTTGGATAAAATCTTGATGCTGTCGCTCAAGCTGATGATATTTTCCTTCGAAATTTGCTTCGATAGGATCTATGATTGGTGCATATTCAATTTTTATAGCTTCCTAACATTAGAAAAATCTTTTATAAACAAAAACAAAACAGAGCAGTCCACGTTACCTCATAATGTATTCGAGCTTGATTAATATCACGTAATTTCTAGAATAAGAATTATTTGAAGACGAGTGAGAATATTATGGATGTGGGATTTGTTGCTCTTTTTTGTTAATCTTACTTCCATTATTTCAACTCTAAAATATTTGTTTTTTTCCCATAAATCTAGCAACTGATTAAACAAATAAAACGGATTAATGAGACAAAAAGAATATTGTAGCAAAGTACCTTCACTAATTTGCCTTTTCGTTCTTCATCAGCTTGATCAACGGCCAAACAAAATGTTGGCACAATAATCTTTTCCAAATGTAGACGGAGTTCATCATAGCCCTTACGCACACTAAAAACAACGATGAAATATTGGGTTGCACAGAGACAGTAATAACAGAAATTTTAGCCATTGTGAAGCTACTATTACTGTAGAAATGTTCAATAAAATATTAATAAGTCTCATTACCAGTTATGCAGAATATCATTGATTAAATAAATTAAATGTAATCGCGCATCAAACGAAGCATCTGGTGAAAGTAAACGATCAACCAAATATAAGCAAATTGTATCTGTTTGAAGACTTGTCTGATTATGAGTAAATATAAAATTTTTTCCACTCTAAAAACGAAAAATAATTCTTTTTTTTAGAAAAAATTGTATGAATATTTCTATTTACTTACTGTTATATTATCTTTCGTACACGATTCGATAATAGATGATGTAACACGATCCAACTCTTTCAGATCGATTTTGGCTTCGGCTGCTTGCGCCTGAATACGGGCCTGTCTTGCAGCACGAATTGTCTCCTGAATCTTCGACTGTACACAGAAAACGAGCACAATGTTTATTTCATGAAAAGAAAGCAAAGTATATCCAGAAAACTTACTTTTTTATTAATCTGTAACATTTCTTTTTGCGCAAGAAGATTCGTTTCGCTTTGACGCATACGTTCTTGACATGATTGTATTTGTTGTTGAAATGCTTGTTCCATAGCGATGCCGGGAGGAATCGGAATTTGTGATGGTGGTCCTTGAAAGAGGGGAAGACGAGGTGGCTAAAGAAGAGACGAAACAATGTGTTATGGTTCATTATTTCAAACATAGAGAAAGCTCACGGGCCATGCTGGATTTGGTCCTGAACCCGCAAAGTGAGGATGTGGTGGACGTTGACCAACGTTCATATTCATAGAATTTATGGAGGGCATTATTCCTTGGTTCGATCCACCATGCATATTTGGCATCGGCATTGGAAACGGCTGCTGTTGAGATGGTGGTGGCTGTTGTTGTCGGAGAACTAAAAAGTAGATTCGTATTTTGCAAATAAGTCGATCTCTTATCTGAGTGAAATCCCACTTACGAGCCTGTTCTGCTTGTATTTTATAGAGGTAATACAAATGGTGTTCACCACCATTAAGAAATTGAAACTTGGGATTATTTTGTTGTTTTTGTCTGGTCATCGTTTCAAAATCTTGTCCATTTCGAGCAACAAAGCTAGCCAGTTTGTCAATGATATTTCGAGTCTCAAGATCTTAAAACATGAAGAACATTAATATCACTAAAAAAACCTGAAACAATCATATTTAATTTTACCTTCCGGCGGTGGAGGCAGAGACATTTTGGTACAAATAAAACTAATTCACAATCTAGAATTAAGATAAAAGTTAGAATTAGCATTATTGTTGATACATAGTCTGTAGTGACTTTTCTTTATATTTGAATGTTAAAGTGAATACAAAACACAAACGCATATGAATTCTTAATAAATACGAATATATCTGTTCTAGTGCAGTATTAATTTTGGTTATAAAGATCGGTATAAAATTGGACATCAGAAAAGCCAGTGACTATGCCATCCATTTTTCTGTATTGTACATCAAGGAAAATGGATAACTTTCCTTTGTTTCTCACTCATCACCCACTTTAGCAGATCAAGAGTGTTATTCTACTGGGTGACCGATAATCCATTCTTATAGGTGGCACTGTCTACAAAAATGGATTATCGGTCACCCAGTAGAATAACACTCTTGATCTGCTAAAGTGAATGATAAGTGAGAAACAAAGGAAAGTTATCCATTTTCCTTGATGTACAATACAGGAAAATGGATGGCATAGTCACTGGCTTTTCTGACGTCCAATTTTACAGTGGTATCGACGTATTGACTTGTGCTCAAAAAGAAAACAAAGTAAGCGTACATCCTAATGAGCGAGCGGTGGTATGAGTTATAGCAGTGACCTGGAAACAAGAGGATGTACTGTTCGTCTGATTTTAGTAACAGGGACGTACATAGTTTAGATGAAATGTACAATAAATAAATAAAGTAAAATTGGATATGTTGTGTGAATGGTCAGTTTCACGACCCAATGAAAATATAATACTTGATCATGAAATTGGAATCGAATAGTGATCTTTTCGAAGCTTTAGTGCACCAGATGGTATGTTGAAGGGGATTGGCTGGATCTTCTTCTCTTGCAGCTGTTGCGCACGTGCTTTTAGAAAGAACACCATGCGATCGACAGCTTGCCATGATAGCTATATTTAGTTGATGAGTAATCTGCTGTATTTTTCTTGGAAAACAGCTGTAGAGTACTTTTGGAGCTGATGTTGCTAGTATTTGTCAGTCAGTTTAACTGTATTATCATTTTTTTGATTAATAAGAACGTTTCCATATGTCTATCCCAGTGCTGCATGGGCATAGAGTTTTAGATCACCCGTGGGTTCGCTTCGTCAGAACTGTTACCGCGGGTAATCGACTCTTCCACGCCAGCAAGAGATTGTTTTCTCTCGCGGATATCAATCCGGCCAAGATATCCTCACGGGTACTCGTGAGAAGTTTTTCTGCATAGTATGTTAGGTGAGCATTTTCTGCTTTTTCATTTCTGATGTACTTGCATAACCGGAAGATATTGATTTACTTCACTACCCACGGATTATTCGCGGATATGTCCGTCACCCGTTCAGCTCCGATCTATACATCCACCGTTTATTCTCATGCTGTACCTCTATATGCCAATACGAATATGTGTAAGGAGAATGTGACGTGTTCGAGCATATTTTTCATATTTTAATTAATTTCTACGGTAAAACGGTATATTTTTATTTGCTCTAAGTAGAGAACGGCTTTCTCAATAGAACACCCCCATAATTTTGTTCGAGAACAACTGACTTATGATCGATATTCTAACGAGAACCGATCTGTTCAAACTAAAAGCTATATTACCGAACAGAAAACGAAATTTTTGCTCTGTGGAGTACATTCTTGTACAAATATACCGAAAACACGGATAAATTCAAAGATTACATCGTTTCCGCTAACCGATTGATGCTTGATTCAATATCACATTTCATGGGTTAAGACAGACTTAGGTCAGTTCTTAACTGAGATTAAACTGAAGCTTATAGGCTCACTAAAGTTTACGAGTTACTCATATTAATAATAACAGAATGTCGCGTAGAAGAAAAGATTACTTCGTTAAGCCCCCTCTTATAAATAATAATTTTGTCAATAATATTAATTTCCAATAAGCTAATGGTCGAAAGTGTCTTAAACATCTTAAAGTGTCTACTTTCAGAATCTATAGCGCTTTCTGCTCTAGAAGTGCTTTTTGAGCAAGTTTGCTAGGAGCCTCATAAAACAATATCTCAAGATACTAGTTTTTGGTTGACTGAATATAACATTAAGTTTTTTTCTAAACACGTAGACTTGCAGAATAAACAGTTTTGGTCAAAATGTAGTCACAGTAACGCTCTGTACAATCTCGCTTTAAAAAGTCACCAGCATTCACAATGTTTTGCTTAAATCCCCAGTTCCGAAAGTTCTACTAGAATCCTAGATAGTTCTATGAAATCCTATCGGAATCCTACTTAAACCCGATACAATTTCAAAATCGTTCCGATGCAATACGAATCCTACCAAATTTCACCACATAGTTCAGGGAATTTTTGCGAAATCTTATACCATTTCCGAATCCAAGATTCCTATTTATTTCTATGTGATCCTGGTAGGATTCTACATAATCCTATCTAATCCTAATGCGATCCTATTATAGAATTCTTTGATCTTGGTCATTTTTTTATCTATAGATCTTCGTAATTCTTAAAAATTTCCATATAGATAGATGATAGAGATTTCGGGTTGATCTTAAAATAAATCTGAAAAGTTTTAATCATGTTTTCTAGATTTCGAACTTGTGACGCCAGCCAAAAATTAACAGAACTAAAACTGAAAATTGCGACTCTTATATATTGTAGCCGTAAGTGCTTGCTTTAATTTTAGAGTAATCCAAGATCTCCGCTACCAATTTACATGGTAGTTTTTGTGAAATACCAACAGGCCCATTTTGTCCCTTGTTCCAGCGACACAACGCTGACAGATACTAGTAGAGCCAAATTTCTTTACCACACTTTGACATATTTAACATTCACTGATCGAGACTATTGTGTTGAGATCGAGATGGAAGTTGTAGCTATCGAGATAGGTTTTTAACATTGGATAGTTTATGAATGCAATAAATAAGTTTCGAACAGTTTCGCTTTTAAACTGATGGTGTTTTGAGATAAGATGCTGCACAGAGAAACAAAGATGACCAAAGTAAAAGATGGAAATGCTTACTCTACACGATACAGCTTTTCGTTATGTATCAAGTAGTCAAAGTTTCCTCTGGAATAAATCCTGTTAAATCTTCCCGTCAGAAATCTATCTCGGTCACCATAAGTCTGATTTATATATCAAGCTTTCAGGGAATGCTAATCATGTTGAGGAATAGATGCAATAAATTTTGAAGGTTCTGCCACTTTCGCTCAATAGATGTTACCCGAATAAGGGTCGGATTTCTGCGCTCGGAAGCAGCTAGAGGTTTTGGAATACCAAACTAAGTTTAAGCTAATGGCATAAAAGAGTCCAATTTCTGAATTTTTTCCTACTCTATTTTCGAAAGGTGTTTACCTCAACAGTTCAAAAAATGTAAAGAAACTAGGATTTCAACAGTGTAAGACAATGACATGTCATGCTGTCATGACAGCATTTTTTTAATCTACAAAACATATGGTATGTACATTTTTTAGCGATTAAAAATTAATGTATTTTAAAGAGGACACTTGAAGCCCGTGTTGTTAATAATTGGTGATCCCAGTGAGCGTAAGGTGGTCCTCCACTAAGCAAAAGCCAAATTTTACCCTGTTTTCCACTTTGAAAATGGAAAAAAACAATTTTCTTTTTGAAATTGCCATGATGAACGAATAAATATAGTGTTTATTATTTTATCATACCACCGAACAAAACAACGAAAGTTGCTTTTGAGTTCCTGAAAAGTGCCTTTTCGTATCCAGCACACTGGATAATTCAAAAGATTTTCTATTTTTGGCGGGGGGTACTTTCAAAAGTTTAGGAAAATTTTTTGAAATAAAATGGCGCAAAAAAATTTCCGTGGGAAAAAAATATTAGTTTGAAAAATTTTCCTAAACTTTTGGAAGTACCCCTCGCCAAAAATAGAAAATCTCCTTGGGTTATTGAGTGTGCTGAATACGAAAAAGCACTTTTCAACAATCCAAAACCAACTTCCGTTTTTTTTCGGTTATGTTCTTATGGTATATATTTTCCTTTACCTATTACTGATTAGATATCTGTTACATTTGTTTTCAAGAAAACGAAAACACAGAGCTTTTTCGCTGTGCTACTCGCACTACAAGAACCAGCGTTGCTTGAGCCTTCATGAACTTTTCTCATAATCGATATTTTCGACGAAAATTGTCATTTTTGACTGGCAAAGGAACCTAAAACAAGCTAGGACTTTAACTTTTCTTTTTAAAAAAAAGATTAACTAAAAACAAATGCAAAACAGATAATTATTTGATTCACAGCATCACCACAAGTCATTTAAAATTACAGATTTTTATATTACTTATGGTACTTAGAAGAAAACGATAGTTATCTAATATATAAAAATTCAGAGCTTTCAGAACTACTTCAGAAAAAAAACTAAAAGTACAATAAAAATAGTCCAGATTTGCTCTAAATATTCTGAGGATCTAAATCAGCTTTTGTGATCGCGTTGCTTATCAGCCAGTGCATGAGAGCGATTTAACAAAAGAAAAAAAAGAATTTTATCGTTCCATGTGAATGATATATTAATGGAGACGCCGCGGAGATTTTAAAACAGGGAAAAAATATATTTAACACTGTTCATGTGATATGATATATGATTTAGTTAATTTTTGACCACGGAGTTCATGTATCAGATATGATACATTTGCAAGATTAAACTAAGTATGATGTTTTGTTGTAGACATGAAACGTGTCTTGCAAATGTGTCATATCTGATATATGAACTTCGTGGTCAAAAATTAAATAAATCACATATATGATATATTGACAGTGAACGTGTTAAGTATGTAAGTATGTAAAACTTGAGAAAATTCTACTCAATAAGAGAACAGTACTAAAAGCAGGTAAATCTCCTACACTCCCCTCTATGCATGACGTCTCTGTGTTCATACACATACATGTATCTGGGTATACAAATGTACACGTGAATTTTTTTTTTTATAACTAAACAAAGTGACAATCCGGCCAAACTGACCAACAAACACTGGCTACATTGCCGACGTGGATATTGCTCATTTTTACGTTAACTTCTTTAACCTCTTGTAGCTTTTGATTTAAAAATAGTTATTTCTATCTTATACACTGATTTACTTAACGGTTTGAGATAAAAAAAACATTTAAACAATATTTATTATAGTTTGCAAAACGCAGTCTGCGGTCATAAATCGTTTTTTCTAGTCAAGTTTTCGTACAGCATCTTCAGTTGAGTCTTATACTCTAGCAGTTTAAAGCACCTTGCTTCAGAAGCTACAACTATACGATCGTCTGAATAATAATAAAGTTTTTCTTCACTTCATGTTATACATTTTAGTTTTATTTACTTTAACGCTAGTCTCATGGTTGAATCAAGTTCATTTTCAACAAATTTAGCTGAACAAAACCATGAGCTAACATTTAACATACAGACATCTATGGATACAAATATACTATCAGGCGTCAATAGCGAAATTTCTACTCCTCCAACTTCTGCCACTACATGCAATCCGATAACAACTATTACAAATCTAAATGATAATGTCAACGAATCACCTATGAAAAAGGCAAAATTAAGCAATAGTACAGAAAATAAACAACGTTTATTAGAAGATAGATTAGGTAGTATACTATCATGTTGCATTTGTCTTGATTTATCAAATTTACCGATGTATCAAGTAAGTTTTCTTGATCTTTTTTTTCTCAAACTATGTTTTTTTGCTTCTTTCTTTTTCTAGTGTCCAAATGGTCATTTGATGTGTGGTAATTGTTTTAGTCATCTATTAGCCGATGGAAAACTCAAAGACGAATTAACAACTTGTATGATTATCATAATTATGTTGGAACGGAATATGGATATTTTATTCATTAACTTTTAGGTCCTAACTGTCGTTGTGAAATTAATAAATCCAATTGTTGTAGAAATTTAGCGGTGGAAAAAGCAATAAGCGAATTACCAATTCTATGTGAATATTGTCTTAATACACTTCTTAGATATGAAATAAAAATTCATCAAAGTCAGTTATGTACTGATCGGTAGGTATCATATCAACATAAATTATAGAACTCTAAACATTTATTTTACCTTTGTTCTAGGCCTACCGCATGTGATTATAATTTGATTGGATGTACATGGAATGGTGCCTATCATAATTTAGAATCTCATTTAGGTGTTTGTCAATATCCATCGAAAGCGGGTATCGAACTGTTAGATACATTAAAAGAAAAAAAACAAATAGCTGAAGATGAAAAAAAATGTTTAGAAACCGTTGTTGATCTATTATCATTGAATCAAATAGGTGTCTCAGATTTAGTATTAAAACCGTTTCGTACAGATGATTTTGTTGCCAAGTTATATTTTGAAACATCACGTTTTACATGTTTATCACTTCAATGGTGTGTACGTGCAAGAATAAACGATAATACTCCACATCCACAATTGACAATGAATCGTACATTAAGTTACCAGTTAGTATTAAAATCGAAAATAACACAAACAATTGATTTAAAATTTTTTATTTTACGTGGACCACATGGTGATTTACAAGCGTTTAAACCTATTATCTATTCATTTGAATTTAGTCCAAATCATACAGAAACAGAATATTTAAAATTGCCAATATCATCAGCAGAATGTAATAAATTATTATCGTCAACATCAATTAGTCTTCGTTTATTAATGGTTCAAGTAGAACGAAATAAAGAATGAAAGAGAAGACTTGCCTTAAAAAACGAAAACTTCAATTGATTTTTTCACCACTGGTCAGATAGTTTATGACTTGTCTAATCAAAACGCAATGCTTTTTTTTATGTTCTCTTTCTATTAACGCAAACAACATTATGCTGAAAATTTTTGATGAAGACATCAAAAAACTGTTTAGTGTTCTTTTTTTTCCTTTGCTTTTTGATTTTTCACAGTATATTGTTGTACACAATACCACGTTTTTCAGACTTTTTCCTATTGCTTCTTTTTAACGTTCTTCACATTTCAGATAAGCAAAAACTGTACTACAATATAAATTCATCTAACACAATAATCGAGACTCAATAAGTATTTAAGCTAGAGCTATCGCTAAAGAACATGTGTGATTAACATGTATGTCTATTTACTAGAAAAACTTATCAGAATTAGAGACCATCACAGAGCAACTTTTTTCGCTCCGCCCTGTCAGAAAATTACTCATAAAATTTTTTGGGCCCTGCCCTGTTTGGCTGAGCAGGACGCCCTGTAGTACAAAATAAAGTTTTTCTCCTCAACCTAGAAGATTTTATCTTTAAGAACCACTTCATTGTAAGAAAGAAAACAGAATTGAACGACCTCTGTTGTCTTCGTTGTTCAATCTCAAAATTTTACTTAAAAAGAAGCTCAAAAATCAATTTCTCGTAGGGCAAATCAAGGAACAAAAAACATATCGCCCTGCCTGACGGGATAGGACAGGGCGGCAGGACAACAGGACAGCTCTGTCCTGCGATGGTCTCTGATCAGAATTGACACTGTTTTTGATGCAGGTGTTTCTTCAGAATTGTTTCTCTTCTAAATACATACTATGGTGATAAGATTCTTAAAAGAATATCATTAGCTTCTTTCATGAGAATATCGAAAGGAGTGTTCTCTAAACGTATCTATGATTTGCATAATATTCTTATGATTTGATGGTACTATGATAAATATACATGGAGATACCACTACGCATTACTATTCTAGAAGACACGTTTTTCTTCTTGACACCTGTAATAATATCACACGTTTTATTCGGTCTTTTCTTCGAGAATATGATGCATTCAGATCACTCAACATCGTGCAGGTTCTGTTTTCGATTTTATTCTTTTCAAAACTCACAAAGTTAGAGTGTTGTTGGTAGAAAATGGGTTCGACAATGAGATGAAAATGAATAAGATAGCAGAATAATAAGAAGACTACTGATCCGCTCTTGATCTCAACTCATTGAGTTTCTGTCTTGAAGTCTTGAAAAAAAGATCAAAAGAACATTGAGTCGTCAATGGACAAAATGTTTGTCTTAAGACACTAATATAGCGCGACACTTTTAAAGAAATAAATAAGTTTCAAATCTAAAACAAACAGCAAAAGTACTTGGAGAGATTTAACCACGCCAAACTTCGACCTAAACTCCAGAAAATATTCTTAATGAGCAATTTTTATATTACGTTTCTAGTAGAAGTCCTCAGACAAAGGTTAGAATCTGCTATGGGTTGAATGAAAATTCTCCCATTTTCAAATTTGCATTTCGAACCAGATCTCGAAAACATAAATCATACTCACAAACTTTATAAAAGCTCTCTTACTTAGTATAAAAAGTAAGTCTAACCTCTTTTTTTCCTCAATAACGTCCGTCCACTTTCCTACTTGACACATTGCAATCTTACGTCAACTATTTTTTTTAAAGAAGATTTTTGTCTGTTAACATATCTGCACACAGAAATTTTTGAGAGTAACAATGAATAACTGCAGGCCTCGCAGCGGCCTTCATAAGAAATCAGGATCAGGACAGGATTTCCAGCAAAAGAAATCAGGAATTTTATCAGGAAATCAGGATTGACAGAGGTTTACCGAAAGACGTACATCTACGCCCTCAACAATTTCATGTGACTTACAGCAGATCAATATGCAAAGTCAAGGTATCAAGAAAGTCACAATAGGCCAGTGGTTCGATCGCAATTCTGACAATGTATGCGGTAAATATCGATAAATAAAAAGAACAATGAACAAACGGGAAATGAATGTGTATATACGAAAAAAATCGTAAAAGTGTATATATGAAAATCTACTGCGATTCGTTGATAGCCATTCAACAAGGAGAGTTGATGGTTCAGCGGACTATCAGCTTGTAGCCCTAACTTCTGTTTGATGATTCTTTTTCCTTGTACGATAATGGCATTTAATCTTGTATTAAAAAAATGACTTTTTCCTATATATTCATCAACAATTTTAGTTCATAAAGAACAATAGCTACTCTACAAACAAGACAAGCAACGCGGTCATTGAAAAACCAGTGTCATCATCGATTCAAGATGGAATTTCTGAAACGCCTCTACCTAGACTAAACTGGAATCTTCAAGGAAAATGACCTAGTTTCGAAAAGCAACAAAAATCAGGAAAATCAGGATTTTTTGCCAAAATCAGGACGAATCAGGACGACTTAAAAAAATCAGGAAAAAATCAGAAAATCAGGACCGCTGCGAGGCCTGTAACTATGAATATGTCTAACGGTCTATTACATTGAAAATAAAAGATATTAGAGGTTGATGTCTATTCGTTCTCATTTCCTTTAGAGATGCACGTTTCTTTCCTCGAATGAGACCAAAACAAAGAAAGAAAAGTACGCGTATATATAATCGATTTAAATTTTGAGTAATCACTTGCACGCATGACATAATATTTTTTGAAAAAAACCAACGCTTATATAGTGACTAGTGTAATTTTTTAACACAAACAGAACGGCTCATTTTCTAGTAAAAAGTGCCGGTCCCTGGATGAAAGTCATTTTTCTTTATCTTAAAAAGAGGAATTTTTTATTCGAGTGAGAAATGCATGACACATCGTCAGATCAATCGACCGAAGAAACAGACTTTAACGATAACGATGCGGAAGTATTTATGCAGCATTTTAATTAGTTTAGTCAACTCCAAACATTATATTTTCTCAGTTTGATCAAAAGCATAAGTCTACTGGGACTAACCAAGTGTTTATTATCATTAACTTTGAAGAAAGTACTGAGAGATGAAAAAGTAAGTTATCGCTTTATCTTGTAAATAAGTGCTTTTAAAAAAAAATCGTCTCATAAAAATAAGAACGAAACATCTCTATGAGCATACTTTTCAGAAGCAAAGGACGGGTACATATTTTTTTACGTTACTGGTAAAAAACGTCAAAATAAATTGAAAACGCGAGCTAAAATGCTAGTGGCCGATCGAAAATGATATGAAGATTTCTCGCTGTTTATGTGCAACCTGTTCAACCTCACATTCAAATCTCATATAGATGATGTCTGGTAAGTTCATTACACGAATCCTATGAAAATAACTATCTAACAAAATTTGCAAAAATCTTCTAAGAATCTTATAATTTTCTTACGTTGTACTCTATAAGAATTTTATCAGCATTTAAGGCCTATGTCGTATATCATTTTTTGTAAGATTTCTATATAATAAGTAATCATTACATCAATAAGTAATCAATCATCACAAGTAAGTATCTCATTTTCGTATTTTCGGTCGACTACAGAGGAAAAAGGGCGCAGACATCGACAATTTTTATGGTTTTTTCTTTCTGTTACAATACGCGCATCAGTCAAGAAAGAATAGTGAATTCGAACGCGGAAACTCGAAACTTTTTTGGACTTATCCACCTCTGCAGTGTCTGTTTTCGATTCTATTTGGCTAACAGCTAATTGTAAACGACAGTGTGTTTTGTAATCGTTATCAAAATTCATATGATCGATTTGATGCCTCTCCAACTTAAAAATAACATCACTGAGACGATCTTTTTTATTTTGGGATACACCAGCAGATAAAAGATTTTTGGGTTGCACTTCTCCAAACAGAGCTGGGCAAGTCAAGTCAAGGCAGACTTGACTTGGCCCAAAATTTTTGGGCTGTGTTTTGACTTGAGAAATTTTTTTCAAGTCAAGTCATTCTTAGTAAGAGATTCTCGTTTAAATTAGACTTTTTCTACCATAAAAGAGAGTCTGTAAGGCTATAAAAACTCTCTGATCTAAAAAGGTGCTAGCAAATTTTATGTTGTCTAATTTTAACCAGACTTGGCTTGACTTGAAGGAAAAAATTTTCTGACCTCGACTTGACTTGACTTGAATTTCTTTTTATTGACTTGACTTGACTTGTGAGTTGCAAATCTCCTGACTTGCCCAGCTGTCTCCAAATACAAAATTTGATTTTTAAGTCAAAGTTCAACTGATAATGCAGAAAGATTAGGTTCATGTGAGCACTGGAACATTTTGAACGACCCTTTAAATGTTTTATCAATCGAATAGTTCAATCGTTTTATCAATGGAATGACTTCAGCATGAAACTATTAGTTTCTGCTACAATGTCAAATAATTTGGGAAATTGTATGAATTCCATCATTAGTTTGATATACAGATAGTTCAAGTGTTCCATTATCTGTAAGATCAGTTCTGATTGATTTCAAACAAGATGAACTAAATGCATTTAAAACAGTCTGTCGCTGCTACTTTGTGCCATCTTCATTTTGGATAAAATATATGGCAACGAATTCGGAAGTATAATAAGTTGTGTAGTATATAGGCATGATGAGATTCGCTCAAATCATACTCATATTTTTTCAGAATTGGTAAAATTACGGAAAGGTAAACTGATTCATCACCACTTTGGCAATATCTTAAGTTTATCACTAATGCCATCAAATGATGTGACTGGATTATTTATAGACATTGCTGAAGAACTTAGTAATTAAGATAATAAGTTTTCAAAATTAACTTGCATACAGTATCTGTGAGTGAAAAATCTTTTCATTGGTTTCTTTTATTCACATTCTTTTTTATCTGACAAAGAACATCAAATTTTTATAGAGCTCATGACCCATAAATAACAGGTCAGCATTAAGAAATTAACAAGAAAAAATCGATACATTAAACAGTGACAAAAAAAAAAATATAACAATAGTAGGAAAAAGATGTCAAATACTAGTGTTACCAAACAAACAATAAGTTGAATAGAAAAATATAGAAATGATTGACTCTTCAAGAAAAAATTAGCAAAATAACACAAGCTGCATTTTTTTCAATGGACAACATTTCAAAAAAAAAAGAAAACCCCGTTAGATTTTTTGACTTTATCTTTTTGTAAAGTGAGAGGACTGTTATGAGATATCATTCTTACTTAAAATTCATTGTAACATATTGTGAAAATGTTTCATTAACAAAATTAATTTTTGCAAATTTTTCTATCCATTTATGATTAACTATTTCACTAGTTGTCAAACGTTCTTGTCGATTATATTTGATTAAATTATGTATAAAATGTTTTGCATATTCATTCATTGTATCTGGTAATGAATAATCACAATTTAATATCCGTTTTTTTGTCATACTAACATCAAGGTCATAAAACGGCGTTTGACCTTCTAATAATTCATAAGCAATCACACCAAGACTCCATAAATCAGCAGATTCTTAGAAATACGATAAAATTAAAAAATTATAAAGATCGGTATAGTATATGTAATGTAATGTTACCTTCATAGGGTGTCGTTTGCCGAGATGATAAAGTTGGAACTGTGGTTGCTGACGTTGTCGACGATGATAATAATGAGTTTTGTTCCAAACAATTGCTAATATCTTCACTTTCAATGACTTCAGGAGCCATGTAATCCTAAAGCAAGACATTACAATATCAAATTGATTGTAACTGCTCATTATCTTCAATGGTGTAGTTTTACTGATTTTACCATTGTTCCACATGAAAATGTTCGTCTTGAACTTGGACAATGTAGTGCTAGACCAAAATCAGCTAATTTAATTTCCATAAATTGTCCCAATAAAATATTTTCCGGTTTAATATCACGATGCATAATTAATAACCGATGACAATAATGAATAGCATCTGTCAATTGATAAATATATGTTGCCGATGTTATATTATCTAATTGTTTATGTCGTTTTAAATAATTTGCTAATGTATCATTTGGTGCATATTCTATAATAATATAAATTCGTTCCGAATCATAAAAAAAATCGTACATACGCAATATATGTTTATGAAATAGTCGCATATGTATTTCTAATTCACGTATTAATTGATGTTCTTGATTATATTGACAAATAAATTCTTTTTTAATAATTTTTAATGCACATAAATATCCAGTTTTTTTCTCTTCAACAAGAATAACTTTTGAAAATGTTCCTTCACCTAATAGACGACCAATATTAAAATCGTCTATAGACCATTTTGATGATCTTGATGATTTTGATGGTTGATTAACTTGTGTCGTTTGACTGTCTATATTCGTTACTTTAGCTGGTGTATCAATACTATACATTGAAACATCATAGCATGACGATAACGATGTTGCTTGATGATCGGTTATAGGAGTATAAGGCGAAGCCGTTTGGTGTTGTTGTTGATAACGGTCACCGATCTTGGGCGTTAATACCATATTTGGGGGAGCTAACGATGGAAATAAAAAATTTTCTTTATTGGTATTCATTTTTTGTCTAGTTAATATGAAAAACACAGCATCTGAAATGTAAGTACAGCAAAAAACGTTTTTTTATATAGATCTATATGGATCACGCATTGGACAATATATTAGCGATAGGTAAACAAACAACAGAAGGACATTTAGAAGATTTTATTAGGTTTATAAGAGAGACAAATTGAACTCTCTAATAACAAAAGTATCAACCAAAATGTTTGAAAAAAAAAGAATACGCATAAAATTCTTCAAATTTTTTTTCATGATGATCAAACAACAACAACAAAAACAACAGAAAAAATCTTCAAATATCATCAATCATAAACAAAAAAATATAGAAGAATATGCGTATTTAGAAAATATAAATAAATAATTACATAAAACAAAAAATATTTCTATATTTAACACAACAACAGAAAAAGAGTAAAAAGATACGTCGTATACAAAAAGATTGAACGTTTTTTACTAGTGAAATAACAAGCAAGCGTAAACAAGAGAATGTCAACTTGAAAAAATTAACTGACTGACGTTTAAAGGAAATTTAAAAGAAAACTGAAGAATCGGTAGTGTCAAGTTTACAAGCTTAATTACAAATATAACTTATATATATTTTTTCAAAGAAATATGGAATTTCATGTCAAAACATTCTCTCAAATGAGACACACAGCTGTCAATCTCAATTAACTTACTATCTGTTTTTCAGAAGAAACACAAGCTGTTGTTTTAATATTTTCAACAGTTTTTAATATTCTCAAGTGCTTTTTTTAAACTATGAAAAAGTGACAGGAAGCCCTCAATAGATCTATTAGGTAAAAGTAAAAAATAGCAGCTGTGCAATAGCAGTATATCATTTATTAAAAAGATGCTATTTTTCTGTTTTATTATAAAAGTGATATTAATGAAATGAAAAAGAAGAGAGAAACAACAAATAAGTAAAAAGAGAAAAATATCTTTCTTATTTCTTCTATACAAAGAAGAAAATCTCGAACAACATCATCACATGTGCTGTTTAAGGAAAAAAAAGCAACTATTAATACAAAAAAACTGTCGCGTTTTTCTAAATTTAAAATAAAATTGGCTTGTCTCTTGTTTGTTCAACAACATAGCTTGTAAAACGTTTGAGAAACTTAGGATATTCACGTTTCGCAATTGCACGGAGAGCAGCAGCTGGCGCCCAACCTCCAGGATTTACTAGAGTTATGAAAAAGAACAATAATAAAATTATTTTTAATAAAGAATAGATATATATTACCAAATGCAACGTAAGTCAATTTACAACGAAGATTTTCTCGTTTAATGTCTTTTGGATTTAATGGTGGTTCAACGATTTGTGTTTCACATGTTAATGCCACATTAGCCACAAGTCGAACAAATGGAGATTTAATCTAAAAATAAGAAATTTTTAATAAGTTATTTTTATTTACTTAACTGTTTTTGATTGTTCACCGGTGCTAAAGGATGATCGGTGGTATAGTTAACAACAATCCAGACTGGTTGATCTTCTTCATTGGTTGATACGGAACGTATATGTGACCAAAAGCATGAGTCACGTTGAGCTGCTGGCCTAGAACAAAACGACGGAGATTAATAAATAAACAGTAGACAATAGTTCGGAAGAAAATATTTCGTACCATACACGCTTATGTATTTGAAAAAATACAAGTGTATCTAGATTATCTTTATCAGGTGTTTCAATAACTTTCGTTGAATCCAATGTAGCTATGAAAAAAATATGAATTTATAACGATATCTTCGAAAACGACGAGTTTTTATCTTACTTTCCCATTCCATTCGATATAGTGGATCAAAAAAATAATGACATATTTCATGTCCAGTTACACCCTAAACATGACATCAGGTATAAGTAATAATTATAATTTTTGCACTAACAACGTACTTTCACTGTATGGAAACATTTGAGTGGATCAACAACAATTCCATTTTCTTCTACTTCACGACGATAAACTTTCATTTCACCTTCATGATGAATGAGTTCCCATAAATCGGATACGTTTTCTCTATCATATTTCAAATGATCTTGAACAATTCTTTCAATCTAATATTAAAAGAAGTAAAATTAAACCTGTAAGATTTTTAATTATAATTGAAAGTTTTTCGATTTGAAAGACTAAATTTCAAATAGTTTTCTTTAAAGTTATAGAAGAAAATCATTAGATAATATTGCACTTTTTTCTAATAAGATAGCATGTGGTAAAAAATCTTTAAGTTAAATAATGACTACATATTTACATCGTTGGACAGTCGATGTGGTATTTTGTGCTTGCGTGTTTCTCTGTGAGCCTTTGATATTGCATTGTTATTGGTATCGATTGTTGTCGCTGAAGGTGCTTGAGTAGTCAACGATTCTGTTACCAAATGATTTTGTTTTACTATGGCACTGGCAATTTTTTTCTAGAACGAAATAAAGAAAAAAGTCAAATGTAAACATATTCTCCATTCTAGGCCATTCAATTAGTACTAATGGGAAGAAAAAACAGAATTTATTCGCGAATCAATACACGATTGAAGAAAAATTGTCAAGAACATTCGGTCTACCATTAATGGTATCTCAGCTTCAGTGTCAACCGTTTAATGTGTTAAATTTTCGAAAATAAAACATTGTTCAATCATAAATTCCTCTAAGAGTTAATAGGTAATAAATAATGTCTTCTGATATTTTATAATTTAGACCACGTACTCATCTTTTATATTTTCACTGACATTGAAGCATTATGCATTCAGCAAATATATTTTAATTATTTTACTAGTACTCTTGCAAAACAGCATTTAAACGAAAATAATGAAATATAGAGAGTGAAGTTATTTACAATAACCCCCCCTCATATTAGAAGCCCACCCCATAATAGAAGCCCACCCCCATTAGAAGCCCAGTCTGGCAAGAAATTTTTTGAAAATTGATCCTGTCCCCATAGGGTACTTTTGGAGAAAATTTTGCCTTTCTTGCGGGACATAATAGAAGCCCACTGGGCTTCTAATGTGGATGAGGGTTTAGTAAGTAGTAGTACTAGTACTTACAAAAGAAAAAACAATACTTCTATACTCAGCACGCTCCCATCCCTTTTAATTACGTTTAATAAAACATTATATCATTCATTATTGATAAATGGTAGTTTCTGAAGATAAGAGAAAAGACTTTACAGCTCAGCATGTGAGAAAAAACCAACCTCTATTGATAAATTAGAAATTTCATTTTCAAACAGATTCATAAATGGATTTGAATCTTCTATACTCGTTGGAGGTGTTCCATAGTCATCATTATTATCGAACTGAGATGTTGTATGGTTTTCGATTGATGTTGGGCGTGATTTTAACTGACACTCTATTTGTGGTAATAGCACTGAAGATATGTTCTGTGACTGATATGACAAAGTGGATGAAATTGGATGAGTTATTGCATAGAGAGATGGTGAATGACGTGCTGATGATAATGATGTAAACGTATAAGAAGGTGGAAAATTAAATGATTTTTTTTTTGTCAAATTCATAGTAACAATTTTCAGTTCTTATACTCATATAAAAATGTGTACGTATGTGTTTGCGTGTGTACACACGTTGTTGTATTATTTATTCTATTGTTTTCTTTTCCATGTCTTACGTTATTAAGAATAATAAGATTTTCTGTTTTTTTCTGTTACGTTTAGAGGGTAATTTTTGATCATCAATTTTTTTCACTTGAAAATTATTACATAATCGAAGAATAACAAAGTCTTACAAATATATTTTAGCTTTTGTTTTAGAAAAAATATTTTAAAAATCATTGTTATTCATTGACTCGCCAGAAGAACGGGAGAAAAAACACATGATTATACTATGCTATGCGTATACGTGTACTTTTTTTCTTCTTCTTTCTGTTCAGCATCATGAACCAATGTAAGTATTATATTACTCATTTTTTAATGTACATATTTCTAATTTTTTTACTATTATCTTACATCAGACGTGATTCATGTACGTCATATTTACCTTGTGCAGACATGTAATGATAACAAATTATTCATAAAAATACACTAAAGTACATCAATATGCACATTATATCGAGTGGAAGTAAAATAACTTGGGGTAAAAAGAGATATTCCATTGAAATATAAGAAATTTTAACAAACAAATCCTCTCTAAGCTGTGATGATGAGAGCTAATTAAAAAATACATTATTTGGCAATCATGTTCGTCCTATATCATTCGCATCATTCTAAACTCATTATCATTTGACCTCATTAGGTCGATTAGAAGACAAGAACAAGATGTAAGATATACTTTTCGTATTTTTATGCATCGGCTTAAAAGTCCATTGAAACCAAGCACAGTCCATTGAAATACACAGTTGTCAAAGTAAAAAATCTCTAGTGATTTTCAGACACTCGTTTTTGGTGTAATTCAGTGATGAAAGCTATTTAGTACATGTTAATGTTTAATATATATAAGTGCTGATATTGGTTTCACAAGATCTTGTATATGAATCTGAACATATTCTATGGAACAAAATTAATTTTACAGTAAATTGTGACTTTTTATAGTCAAGCAATTTTGATTTTTAAGAATTTTCTCTATCGAATACAGAAAACTATCAAATGAAAACTACGATATATAGGCAATATAATAAGAATATATTCAATATGTAGCTCATCTAAGTGTCTCAAATTCATCAATAGAGAAATAAAATATTCTATTTTTCAACACACAGTTCACTTGTGTATGGAACAGGAATGGAAGGCGTCTAACATAGAGGTAAAGGATGTTAATAAGAGATGGATATAAAACGTGTAACTAACACGATATGCCAACGCAAGACTGTATAAAAGAAACTCAGATCATTCGCTATAAGATGTCGTACGGAACTGCCTTGGTTATTAGTTCATTTCAAAAAAAAATTTTGTATTTACAACTTACTTTTCGTACGATTTCATCTGTTTCACGATCAATACGATCTAACGATTGATCTAATGCATCGAAAAATTCTTCATCTTTTAATGTACTATGAGGACCTTCCTAAAAATGAATAGAATATCTGGGTTAGGCTATATGACAATAAATCTATTTCTAAATACTAATTTGCACATACATACTTCAGCATCCGGAGAGCCTAATGCTGGAATCTTCTGTTTTATGGCATAAGTATATAGTTCTTGAAATTTTTTTCGTCGCTCCAATTCCTAAAAGAAAAAACAACAACATATAGGCGGTAACTAATCTTCTCTTTAAAAGAATCGATATACTAGGCAAAAGTAGATATCCCGCCTATTACTTTTTCATATTTTTTCCTCCATATATCTTCTCTTTTTTGCATTAATTCAATACAAAATGCGAGATTATGTACAACACCATCTGTCGTTGCTTTAAAGGTTAAAGCCTCGCCTAAATGAACAAAGAGGAGGCTCAAATTAGCAAAAAAGATATACTTTTGGTTTATTCAGTCTTACCTTTAAAATCGATTGCCATTCCTGCATGATCACCCACAATTGTAACTGAAGCGAAAGTGAAACGTAGAAAAAACGAAACAAAATTTGTTTAGTAAATAAAACTCTCAAAATTACCATTTTTTACTGGTCTATTGTCATCGTGTTTGAGTTTGTCTGGTGAATCTTCAAAGTCGACATCACCGGAGTCTTCGACTGAAATATAAAATACTAATAAACTAAGACTGAAGAGTAATGGTAAACTGTCATGTAAATGTCATCCTCTTTAGCAGGCCAAATATTGGACTTTTATAAAAAAAAGAAAGGTTTTGCGTAACGCAGCTTATACCTATGAGTATCAAGCAATAGACTGTTGAATTTCTCGGCGAGATAACGTTATTGTTCTACATATAACGACTTTGTAGTAAAAAAACTTACATTCTTTTTGATATGGTTCATATCCTTTGGTCACAGCATTTGCACACGCATCAAAATAAGTCTGTAATGTTTGTACTTGTTGACATAAAATATCTTTATATGTTTCCAGTTCTTTAAGTTTTTCTTTTAAATTTCGATCTTTCTATTATAGCAATAATCAGAACAATGGCGTTAGCGAATCGAGAAATTTGCGAGCGAAGAATTACCTTAAATGAGCCCGTCGACGCGACACTAACACTTGCTGTCGATGTCAGTGATCCTAAACTTGGATGTTTACGTAAACTTGTTTCACTACCATAACCTGATTCTGCTTTACATAAAATTTTATGATCTTCTAACGCTTGTACCCATTTTTCTCTGTCCTCGCGATTATGTGCTCTCAAATACCAAACTGAATCATTTACACGTATGTCAAATCGACAGTCATCAAATTCATGGGGCTAAAAGACAAATAATAAAAATTTACAACCTGTACTTAATAAAGAAAAAACTTTTAAATATACTTGAATGAGTGCTTGTTTCACTGAGAGTGCTCCACGACATCCAAGACTTATTTCAAATTCATTTTTATAATAATTTAAAAAGCCGAGTTTTAATACAAGAAATCGTTCTTGCCATCCGTGTAAATAGTTTGTCCATTTAAATAATCTTCCTTTACAATGTTCATTATTACGATTTGTCGATGATTCATCGTCTAACGATTCATCTTCTTCTGATGTTGTTACATCTTCTGTTGCCATTTTAAATTTTAATTGAAGTTTTTCAGACAAATAATTCAATAACAATGTGATTTAATGAGAGAAAAATCCATTTCCAAGATAACGTACGTTGATACCATTTGTTGATTACATTGTGAGTAAAATCAAGAATAAATATCTAGAAACAAGTGATAATACTATCACTTATCAAAACTTTACATAACCTGGCACAAGAGTTCACAATTAGAAGTAGAAAAAATATCGCGTTGTCGAAGGACGTATGCGTCAAACTCTAAATACATTTTAAAAGGCGTACTCTTTGTGAAAGTGATTCATTTTCGTCAGATAACAACAGAACGTGGACAGATTGAAGTTGTGGTTGTTCTTAGAAGACCCACATATTAATGATGTAGATTTGAGTCAAGCAAAATAAAGTGAAAATAATCAAAATTTCAATCATATAACAAAGCAAAATGAATAAAAAACGAAAATCGAAGATTAAATATAATGCAAATGAAGACAGTTTATAAAAGTAGCTTTAGTTGGTCTCATATTAATTAACCAATAACAAAACAGTATTTTAAATCGAAAAATGGCGACAACTACGTTCAGGCACAATCCAGCTGTCGCCATAATTCATGATCACCAAATTAAAACGTTCAGTTTGTAGGAAAAGGCAACGGTAAAACATTTTCGCTTAGTAAAGTACCGCCTTACGTAACGTTTAATTAAACTACTTTCCTGCGAGCAAGAAAAATTAAAAGAAAGGTCACCGATCTGACTAATTTTAACTGATCCAACCCTAGTGAAAGTACTCATATGATGAGTACGACTTTACTCATAATTCGTCCATACTACTAACAGTTTTGGAGTATTGTTACTCAGTGAGTACTCAGAAAATATTCATTCACCATTTTATTTTGCTAAACTGAAACTGTATAAAGAACATGGAATTTAGCGAAGAAACATAGAATATTTATATTATTATTTCTTCACTGGTCTCTCTGTATATAGTCAGGGGTGGACTCGTTTGTGACTGGACTTGTAGTCCTACTCTGGCTGTCTAAGATCACTCCTCTACATGAAAATATCAGATAAACAATATTCATGAGTATTTTGCCAAAAGTTATATGAGTAGTCAACAATACCCAAGCATGAGTACTCAGAGTCGTACTCACAGTACTCGTTACTCACTGATGAGTACTCGAGACATTTTTCAGCAGAGTACGGCTTTGAGTACTCACACTTGAGTACATTCACTAGGGAAGTTAAAAACGTATTCAAATTTTGAAATATGTAAAGTTTACACTAAAAAGGAACTAAAAGGGCATTGTAAACCCTTTTCCTTTTAGTTTCATTTTATATTTTACATGGCCAATGTTTTAAAATGTTCGATATATAGACCATTTACGCAACACGTGCACTATACACGTGATTTCTTACTGATAAGAACCTAAAATTTCATTTTTGCTGCTACTTACGAAAAATTTACTTTCGTTTTCTTTATAAGTAGATAGACCAAAGTGTCCTCTTCAAAATGCCAGGCAATGGAGCTGTTGATCTTTTGTGGTTCAAGTGTGGCATCGGATTTATTCAAAGTCCCACGACTGTTATATGGTGACTATTTGAAACCTCAAAATGAGATGGATTGTAGGTAATCAACCATGCTGAGTCTTGCGGTGATGCTTGTTTTTATAGAAACATTCAAAACCTATTAAAAACTTAGATTAACGGAAAACATCGGTTTTCATCAAAATCTAAAAAATCACATTTCACTCAAAATCCTTCCAAATGGCTTAAAAGTTTCAGAATAGGCTTATTTATATACTAAATGTGTTTCTACAACTAGAAAATGGAAAACAACATCGAAACTATACCAGATTTTGAGATGGTTTTAAGTTTTGAATGTTTCTATAAAGACAAGCATCATCACAAGACTCATTAATCAACCATGCGGTCGACCACCCGGGGCGCTACAAAGCAAGGGACGCCGAAGGCGCCTTGGTTTTCTAATACTGATCAGGCGCATTTCAACAGGTACAGACAGAAGGGATGGGGGCGCAAATATAAATTTTCGCCCGGTATCATAATTTTGCTCGCGCCGGCCCTGGTTGATTACCTACAATCCATCTCATTTTGAGGTTTCAAATAGTCACCATATAACAGTCGTGGGACTTTGAATAAATCCGATGCCACACTTGAACCACAAAAGATCAACAGCTCCATTGCCTGGCATTTTGAAGAGGACACTTTGGTCTATCTACTTATAAAGAAAACGAAAGTAAATTTTTCGTAAGTAGCAGCAAAAATGAAATTTTAGGTTCTTATCAGTAAGAAATCACGTGTATAGTGCACGTGTTGCGTAAATGGTCTATATATCGAACATTTTAAAACATTGGCCATGTAAAATATAAAATGAAACTAAAAGGAAAAGGGTTTACAATGCCCTTTTAGTTCCTTTTTAGTGTAAACTTTACATATTTCAAAATTTGAATACGTTTTTAACTCCCTAGTGAATGTACAAATTTGAAGAGAAGCTAAGAAAAATTCTAATGAAGACGACTAAAACTAGTATAACATAAACTTCAGCAATTTTTTGAACAGAGCAAATCCTGAAATGACCCCAAGAACTGTGTCTAAAAGTTCTTAGTAACGGGGACACAATCATAGTATAGTAGCTAAATTTCTTTGACTACAGTAACCCAGAGAATACTCCAGACAATGTTAAAACTTGACAGAAGATGTGACTTTCTATGCTCGATCTAATGCACATCTCAAAAAATCGAAAATCTGACTGCATTGTGGTCAAAACTTGGTCAAAACTAAGAATTAATTAGTTTCTGGTAGAATTTGCAATGGTATCGCTGTAATTCCATCATTAGCTATGGGTGTTTCAAAATTTTTCTCCTGATGATGACCCTTCGCGATGGTCAAAACTAGGTGTTTACCTATTTTTCGTTCAATCACGGAGAATGACATACGTTTAGTGGGGGTAGCCGCAGACCGATTAATGTGCACATCTACGTATTACTTATGTTATTCACATATTATTAACATCGTATCAAAGATATACTTGCTAAATTAGAAGTCCCGGCTGTCTTCAGTACGTTGTTAATTTAACTAAATTGCAGCGAGAAATCCACAGTTTCTCACATTTTTTTGTCAATATGAAATACCCAAAAGTTTCCATTAGAACTAATAGAAACAATTCGAAATTTTTGAATCACGGACTTTTAACTTATCAGTCTGTCTAAGGCGCAAGTTAAATTAGAATTCTTCTTCATCCTCGCGGTCGCATGATGCAACACAGATAAACTAATTTGTCAAAATTTTCAACCTATTTGTATTGATACAGATTCGTATAAACGCTTATTGTGTTCTCATAATACTCACTTTATTCTCGCCCTATGGTCTAGCAGGCAGTTGCTAATTAATCTATTAAATTCCGTTGCTTTATTCTGTTAACTCTTATTGGAACACGATTATGATATCCCTCATTTGTATAATTTATTATATTGAATTATTTTCTCTTACTACAACAGTTCACTCTAGTTGTGCCTGATCTAATATTAGTGTCGAATGTTACCTGCACAGATCGCAGATCTCTGCGAGTAAGCTGTTTTAGTAAGAGATAATGGTTATGATATGACTGTCGATAACATCGTTTCGTTAGTTGTTGTTAAACAAAGTTTTTTCGCAGGTGAAGAAACTACTTCTTTCTTACATTCGTGCGGTAGTGTGATGTGGTAAAGGGAAAAGAGAATCCTTTAACGCATAACTTGTTCGTAGAGATCAATTATTTTCGGCAATCATACGAATGCTCTCACTATTCATGCACCTTGTCCAGTGGATAAAGCACCAACATCACATTTAGTGTTCTCATAGTTGCAATATGTACACATATATTTGTATACCTAGCAAACACGAATTGATTTTTCAAAATATTTTTCGGATATTTTTTAACCATCTCTCCCAAATCTAACTGTGTAACCTCTCAGATTCGAATACGTTTCTGCTATAGACACCATCACATTTTTACATAATAAAAGGCGACAATTGAGATATGTGTGAGTTAATGTGCTCCAAGGATCGCTCAAATATGATCAAAAATTTCATAGTATAGTAGACTGCAACGAACTAGTGAAGATCCAAAAAATATTAAAAATTAAAGAACAAATTACTACTAACTATTTTTATCAATCATCTTCATTATTTCGAAGCTGACTACCTTATTGAGCCAACAGAATCTGTCTCATATTTGGGCACTATCAAGGTTTTTGCCCTACTTTCAATAATTGTCGGATATGTTCAAGAAAAGAAAGAAAATTAAGTTACATTAAGTCGTATGTTCATCGATATGTTTTTTGTAGCCGATAATAACAGAAGTTATTAATCAAAAATTTCTACAATACTTTGTGTGTAAAGTTCTATGTCTTGGTATTCTGCGATTTCGTTGTCGTTGAACTCGAAAAAAGAAATTTTATTAATTCATTTTGGTCGTTATTCTTCAACAAGGACAGATTATCATCATATCGACCACAGATATATTACAGGCCAACATTATCCATTCCATATGCTAATGACCAACGCAATTACTCATTAAGATTTATATCTTAATATGGAAATGTAAGTGCATGACAAATTTCTATAGAAAGGCTTTTTCTCAATTGTCACACGTTCTTTTAGCTAGTAATTGACAATAAACATGGTAAGTAGTTTGGCTGTCGGCTTTTTATATTGTTGAAGAAATGTGTTCATATACATAGGATTAATGACTTAGTTTAGATTTACCTAGAATTGGTTTGATTCATATAATCGTAGCAAACGTTTATACATGTTTTGAAGATGAACATAATTTTTGTGGGTCTATAGACCCATCACATAGAGCGTGTTTTTAGTAGTTTGTTGAATTCCTGTTTTATTTGTCTAGTAATCATTAAGGGTTCGCGCCGCTCTCTTTTTTTACCTTGTTACTAAATGTGGAACACACATCCGATCGAGTTCAAATTTATATCAGAAATACAACAGCGAAAAAGGAAATC